ATTCTTGAAATATTTTTATTATTTTCATGTGGATTCCTAATCTCAAATTCATAGCAAGGTAAAAATATATTTAATATGTTTAATAACCATTGTATTATGCAAAGTGAATGGTCCCCTTTTACACATAGGACATGTTTGTATACTACTTATATCTATAGAGGAACACACAGAAAACTTTCATTTTTCCCATAAAATGCAGAACCATATAAGTAACTAACCTTAAAATTAAATGTACAATTTTCAGTATAAGTTTCCTGCAATCATAAAGGTCTTAGTTGAAGTGGATACTTACTTCATCATATTTTTAAGCTTTAACTCCTTGGAAATCATATAATCTAATATTTTATTGATAAGGAACAGGTAAGGAATTCATTCAATAAACAAATATATAAATGTGTTGTTGTAATGAGCTTCATACCATCTGAAAACAATTCTTGTTTGATTAGAACAATAATTACCAGGAATCTAATTTCTTAATTTGGCCCCTGAAATTAACTTTTGGACTCTGGAATCCCCTACCAACCCAGGATCACTAGGAGCTCTGCAATCTGTGCTCTGTAGGTAGCAGAGAACTGGCAGTACTACTCTGTGCATCGGTAAGGAGCCCCTGAGAAGGCGCTTCCTTAAAACACTACAAAGCCAGCTCTGATTGCCAGGGACCACATATATCACTGCCAGAAGCAGCCTGAGATACAATTCTCCGGTCATTGATACTTCCAGGTCACTCAGTCTATAAAATTTATAGGATGGAGGAGGAGGTGATTGAGCTTCCCTGAGTCCAAGGATAATGCCACCTTTGATCTGTAGAAATGAAAAAATTGAGCTTTTCCTTTGCAAGTGGGTTTTAAATATTTCTCCATTAATAGTTAATGCACACACAGACTAGCAGAGTGACAGCTCCCTGTGATTATGAATTCTGGCTTCGTAACTCTAGTCCAAATAGGAGCTGAACTTTCAAAATCACAGTGGTTACTTTTGACAAATTAAATTGTCCTACTTAGGAAGGTAGAAAGAATGACGAGAAAGAAAGTGAGAGAGTGGGAGCAAACTCTCCTTGGATGTGATCCACAGACTGAGGAAGGAAGAAATGAGAAAGGACGATGTTTATATTGTCTAGGATGACGATACTGCCAAAGTTTATTAGAAAATTGGTACAGAAGGTTACTATTCAGATATAGAGTAAGACAGAGAGGGGGTAGGGAAGATGTTGGTAGTATAGTTCAACGTCTCCAAATTAGGAAGAAAATATATTTAAAAGGATGATTAACTTTTAATAAGAATTAGGTTGCTCTCAAAACCCTGTTTAAAATTAATTAGGAAAAAGGTCTTAAACATCTAAAGATCTGAAAATAACAAGAAATGTTTTAAAGAGAATATGCTCTATACAGCTCAATGTAGTATTAAGATTTCTAAATATTATTTTTCTCTATGAGTTTCTGTGTATTTTGCAGGCTTTGGGCAGGCAACAAGAGCTTTACTTAGGAGGTCTGCTGAATGGATAGTCTGGGATATTTATCTGTAGTTCCATATCTAGGAGTTAAGGCCATTATATTTTCTAGCAGAGACAAGAATATAAAAATAGATAGTCAAGAAAATAATACACAATGCCAAAAATAGCAAATAAGCTTTACTTTCTGTGACCAGGAGAAAATCTTATTAGATTTTTTTTTTTTAACATGACGTTTCTAAATGTATACCTTGGGGGATCAACTTGGGACTGTACACATACATAGACATGGGTCAAGACATAAGGATCAGTGCTAGAAAAGGAGTTGGATGATAAAATACAGTAACCCAGGAAGAGCACAAAGGTTCCAATGCAGTAAGAGCAGGAATGATGATTCAGTCCTAGCTCATAGTTTCCTGAATATTTTTCCCTCGTTTGCTCAGCTGAAAATCTCCCTTAAAAGTTTCACCATCATTCTTTCACTTATATCAGGTATCAGCAGCTTCATTTCTAATTGTAAATTATTTTTTTCCTTTTCATGCTGGGGATTGAACACAGGGCCTTAACTCATGTCAGACAAGTGCTCTACCATTTAGCTACATCTCTAATCCCTTAATTTTTTTTTTAATTCAACAACTATTAGCTCAGTATCAACTATATAGAGTTCATATGTATAGAATACAAGTGCAAGGCATTTGTGTTGGTATTAAAAAGTATTTTATGAAGTGAAGATGATATAAATAGGTTAGGATGAACTGGGAAATGCTGTGAAATGGGTTGGGTCCTGTTGAGTTGTGACAATGACCGGGAAACATGACTAGAAAATGTTCTGTAGTACAAGGGATGGTACCACAAACTGATAAAAAGTTCCTTTAAACATCAATGATGTTGGGGCTAGGGTTGTGGCTCAGTGGTAGAGTGCTCGCCTAGTGTGGGTGAGGCACTAAGTTCGAACCTCAGCACCACATAAGAATAAATAAATAAATAAAAATAAAGGCATTATGTCCACCTACAACTGAAAAAAAAACTTAAAAAAAAATCAATGATGCTCTTTCTTTTAAAATAACTTCTTTTTTGAAAAAAAATAGTTGTAATGGACATAATAACTTTATTTTATCTATCTATCTATTTATCTATCTATCTATCTATCTATCTATCTATCTATCTATCTATTTGATGCTGAAGATAGAACCCAGTGCCTCAGATGTGTTAGGCAAGCGCTCTATCCCTTAGCCACAAACCCAGCTCCTCAATGATGCTCTTAATAATAAATGTTGATCAAACATTTATATATTTGGAATCCAACAAATATGATGATTAAAGATAGTTAAGGCAGTCTCAAATGGTATTTAAAATCTAGGAAGGCCTGGGGACCAATTGAGAAGCTTTACTCCTTCAGGGGTCTCTTTGATCAATAGGCTACAAATTCCCCTCCCCCAAGTCATCAGTTTAGCTGATTCCTGGAAAAGCAGATTTAAATAGAGGAATGGGATATTGAAAATGTTGACCTAACCTGGGAATCCCTGGGGATTCTTTGGGAAGAACTGAAATTAATTCTCTTCAATCAGTTTTTCTAATTCAGGAGGTGCCCTACGTTCTATGTGAGTCCTTAGTCAATATCCTCAGGATTGCTTTGGAGGTTTCCAAACCTCTGGAATATTTTCTGGGCTCTCATAGAGAAAGATAGTACAGACTTGTAGTATCTGCCCTTGGTTTCTAACTCAATCTTTGATTTTGCTTATACCTCAAAGAAAAGTTAGTGCTGGTCTATGTTGAGCACCTCAAAGCAGAACGATGGTGACAGGACATGAGTCACAAATGAAAAAAACATAGTATAGAAACTCTCTGGAAAAATAATATACCCCAGAAGCACTGAGTGGGTGGAATAATGGCCTTCGATGTGGTAGAATAGGAATTCTCAGGCAAAGCACTTACAAGGAAACCACAAGAAAAAGAAGACTGCACTTTTTGTTCAATGATTTCCTATTAATTGTGATGTAAATTATATGAATGTGATTTTGACAAAGAATAGCACTGTTTCTGAAAAAATAGTAGCATATGTGCAAAATACAAAATGCATCAAGAAGAAAAGAAATGTTATTTGGCATCATGAGTGCAATAATTTCTGAGACAATGGCTTAGGAATAAAATATTTTTCTATCACTAAATTAATATATATTTATAAGCATTTTATATGTAATTCCTGATCCTGACATGAAATGTGAAATTACCTAGCTTTACTCTAACAATATGTTATGCCAGAAGATGCATTGGATAGCTTTGTTATTAATGTGGACAGTTATCCATACAGGACACAGCTAACAGTCAACAAACTTAATCAATGTTGGACAGAATTCTTTAGAGAGTTAAATGTCCCCATGTGCTGAGTCCTTGGGGAGCTTATATCTTCTCTTAACTAAGGTGATTCTCAAGGGACACTAATTAAAGTCAACCAGACTCTTGAAAAGTATAAATATCTCTATTTAGAGGAGGCACACATTAAAATATATTATTAAAGAAAGGTAACTTAGAATACTAAAACTGGAGAAGAAAGAAGACAACTTTTATTTGACCTTGAATGTACTTCTTATTCTATAAGAAAATTTGAAAAGCTAGAGGGTAGTTGTTTCTTGTCATTATACTGTTGCTGATTCTGTGGTTAGTTATTAATTTTATTTTTTATGATTCACAATCTGCTCTTTGAAATATGCCATATGCTCAAAGCAATTCAAGGATGACAACTGTCAGAATTACTCCAATAAAAATTGCCTAAATGAGGAAGATTTACTGCAGTCTGATATTTCAGTGGAAAGTCCCTCTTCTCTCCCTGACAGCTTTTTCAGGCACTGTGAATCTTGCAACCATTTTTTCAGTCAAAATCACTGTGGTTGTTTTGTACGAACTTCTAAGACTATTTAAATTGAACTGGTAAAACATATTAGGCTAAGGGTGAATTAGCAGACACAGAAACAATATAGATAGTTATCAGATGGATTGCCTGCAATCAATATGTGGGTTCTAAACCAGTTTTCTTAAATCACATGAAAATGTATTGACTTAATATGACCATGTCTTCTCTATGTATCACTAATGAACATTAAATTGGATGAGCTCCATACTATGTCAATAACAAGCCAAACTGAAGGCAAATTTCTTTTTTCTCAGGAAAGATCTGAGAGGTGGAAAGAATCCACCTGAGTGCTCCAATCAAAATACATTTTGTTAAATGTTACCAGTCCATTTATCCTTTGTTTTGTTTTAGTCTATTTATTAATGCAGTTTCATTTATTGCTATTCATCTTGAAGATAAATCTTTGTCCTTCCATAGAATTACACCAAATAGAATGTGATAAAGGGAACTTTCTTGCAATTATGATGTCGGTGCAGCCTGTCAGCACACAAGGGATGGAAATGAGTTTGGGGACAGGGAAGGGAATTCTAATAGACACCATGATACATACAATGAACGCAAAGATATCCTGTGAGAGAGAGAGACTTGTCAGGCTAATCAGATCTTCCACAGCAAGGTAAAGGCAGGAAGGGTAGCTCTAACCTTGTAAAGATGCTGCTGCTGCTCCTCTGACATCATCAGGTCGTGGCTGTCCATCACGAGGGACTCCATGTCAATCAGCCAATCCCAGAGCTCCTGATATTCTGAATCAAAGTCCAGGAGCCTGAAGATAAGGCACAAAATGTATTATGCATAAATACAGTGTAGTTGTTAAAATCTCATATTAGAATAATATATTCTTGAAAAATCATGATGTTCCTAGGTGATACCTATAAAAAAGAGAAGGGAAAAATTCTGTGTGGTTACACAGTGGACAAAATAGGAACTCAAGGCTGTACCACTGACACCTCTAGATTCTAAAACGAAACATGTAATTCCAATGCTCATACCTGAGACGTGTCATGGTTATTTCCATCTTTCTGAAGGTTTGTAGCACATGAACAAAATGACCATGACCGTGTCCTTGAAAAAGAATACTGCCATTTAACAGACTGAGAAACAGAGGATCAGTGATTTGTTGACAGTTTCATGGTCCAGAAATTTGGGTAAGAACAGCACCTTCAAAATTTGAAACACTTTCCCATCTACTAGATTTTCCATAGATAATGCATCTCAATAAATTTATGATTAAGAATATTGACTTATATTTCTACAGTGATAATAAGATATTATCAGATCCCAAATGTTTATTTCACTGGAAAATGACTCAATCACTTATCTGTCCTTCTGCTGTCTATCTGCCTATCTCTGCAAATATATATCCTATACTTATTGTCATGGATGAGTAGCCAGCATTTCAACTTAACACTCAGAGATAGGCTTGAGTGACTCTGGTAAGCCAGTGAGAACCAGTGGCAGATCCAGTATTAGACAGGTGTTCCCCACAGACATGTAGGAAACAAAGGTAAGGACAGGAAGTCAAAACAATGAATCTTTGAATAGCCAGTAATCATTAAAATTCAAAGGAGGATCACTATGGTTTTCAACAAAATAAATCATTAGAATAAGGAGCTTAACAGGATTAATGTGATTCTCTATTGAAAGCCTGGTGAATAAGTAAAGCTCAGATTCTTCTAAAACACTGTGATCAGAAAATGAAAATTCAGGATGAAAAACTATAACTTTTTCTACCCCCACCCCAAATCATCCTCCTAAAAGAAGTACTACAGTTTTATCAAACAGTAACTGAGCAAAATGCTATTGGTACTAATGCAGCAGGAGCCTCAGGTAGGAATTTGGATTTATCAGTTGAATATTGAATAACTACCTTGTTCCTTTCTCTCTATATATTAGACTACTTTATAAAAAATGACTCTCCACTTCTAATAACTTATAGTTTAGTCTTAATAGATCTGTCAAGAAATTAAGATGTGCCTTGTGATAGGGAAACTGGATCTGGAGCTGTCTATTGTATTTAAATTACTTTACCATCAAATAAAGATCCTTAGCCAGGAACATAAGCACCCAAGGAAAGGGTGGCTAACATATTGAATTGATCCATAAGTGTTTATTAAATGCCAATGCTAGGTATAGATAATGTTGTCATAACCTTTATTAAGGCTATGGTAGCCTAGAGCAATGTTTTTCAGACTTAAATATGTACAACTGAGAATCTTACTGAAATGAAGGTACTGATTCTGTAGTTGGGGGTGGGGAAAGCTTGTGATTTTGTGTTTCTAACAAGTGTTGGCAATGTTGTTGGCCCAGAGACCAACCACACTTTGAGTAGCAAGGACTTCTAGTATCCAAGTGAAATCTGAACTAGTTCTCTGTTTCAAAATACTACAACAGCAGCAGCAGCAGCAACAAAACCAATCACTATAATATGGCAAATAAACCACCAGTCTTTCTTTATTAGTGCCGTGACTAATAAGGAGTGACTAATAAGCATTTGCTGACACAACAGGTTTAACCATTTAGAAATGCCTCCTGAATTATGGTCACCATTTCTCTTGCTTTTCACCTTCCCATATTTGAACCATAAAGACACGGGAAAAGTGAAATGGCACCCACAAAATTAGAAAAGTATGATCGGGAGGAATATTAAAAGTAAAGGGAAAAGCTCACTCTTTTTAATTCAGTGGACTTAGAGAATAAGAAGGCAATGAAGGCAGGAGGAACAGGTACTCTAATGTGTATCCTCTCCTCTTTGCTGAAGATTTAGAGGGGAAAGCCAAAAGCACAAAAATGTCAGCTTCACTTCCTAGTAGGAACACTAGGGTGAGATTATAGGATGTCCTTACAATAAAGTGGAGTAGAGATGCTATAGTTAGAGCATGGAAAGCATTTTGGTTAGGACTACCTTTGCCACTGAGAAACTAATGTGAATCCATTTTTGAGAAATCAGCCTCTACCTCAGAGCAAAGCCTGTTCAAGGAAGGGAGTGTGACCCTGGTCCTTGGAAAAACCCACAGAGCACTCCTGGGCACATAGCCACCCTGCTGAGTTGTTTGTCTGTAAATAACAGGAGAGGTCTGTGGCACTAGGTGTCCCTGACTCAGTTAGGCTAGGTGAGGACCCATAGCAACCTCCAATCATCATGAGACAGGGAAAATACCTGGAATGCCAGATGATCCCCAAGTAGTTTATGGTGGTTGATAACATGTTGGGAAACCATGTAGTTTAGCAGGTACACCCCTCATGGCCTAAACCAATCAGTTCAAATGAATCCCCCTCTGTACTAACCAATCACCCTACCCAACTTGTTCCCGCCAGTGAATATGCTAATCAATGTTAAGAGTTGTTGTTTGACTTTCCTGTGGTATGGAATGATTTGCTGTGTGATGTTGTGGCGCATAGAGTATCCCCCCAAAACCTATAAAATCTCACTGAACAAAGGACTGCTGTGTCAGGAACAGTTGTGAGTCCAGGCTTGAGTTTGCAATAAAGACTCTTGTGTGATTGCATTGGATTCGGCCCCTGGAGATCTATTGGGGTCCCACGAATCTCGCATAATACCACCATTCTCTGATTCCCCCAAGGAAAGACTCCAAGATTCCTAAAAGTTCACCTAGTAAAATTGTCAGAGGCATTGCCATGGCAGCAAAAGCACAAAAACCAAGGACAATCAGGTAGTCCTTTGTAGCTAGACCTCAAGAGAGCTGGGAGGGCCAGTGAGGGCTGAGATGTAACTTGGTCAGGAAAAGATTCCACTGGGGCCTAACTGAGCAAGAGATAACAAAAACTGGACCAGCCACAGCCCTCTACCTTATATGCCCACATAAGACCCATTTCAACAGAATCCATTAGCCTGTATCCAAGCACAGTGTTAAACTAGGGGATCCGAAAGTACCCCAGAATCACAAAGTCATATGAACACCTATTTGCTCAGACATCATCTTAGAGAAAAGAATGAAGAGGAACAGGAAATCTGAAAAATTGAGCATTTTCTCAAGAAATTGTTCCTTAGAGAGATTATTCTCTACAGAGAATGATAATTAATTAGAGAAGTAATCATGTGTTTAAGAGCCTGAACTCTGAACTTTATATTATTGTTGTAGGGATTAAACCCAGGGATGCTTTACCACTTAGCTATATTCCCAGCCCCTTTTATTATTACTCTTATTTGTTTTGAGACAGTGTCTTGCTAAGTTGCTCAGGGCCTCCCTAAATTACTGAAGCTGGCCTCAAACTTAAGATCCTCCTGCCTCAGCCATCCAAGATGCTAGGATTGCAAGCATACACCACCGTGCTTAGGCTCAACTCCAATCTTAAAGCAAGTTTTTGTTTTTTCTTGCTTTCCCAGGAATATGAGTATAAGATGTATCACTAAAATTATCAATCAGCAAGAAAACATAAAGAAGCTCATTTTCTTTTTGTATGTTTATAGTAGAGAAGAAAACTTCGATCGTGACTAAGTAAGTCAAAGGCAAGGGACAAATTTATTATCTTTGCACCTGCAGTGTCCAGCATAGCACCTGGTGATTATGATGAATTAATGTAGATGATGAAATCAAAAACTTTCAGTAGGGCAAGGATGACTTAAAAGAGCAGTGAGTGATGGAAACAATATTATCTCATTCTCCAAATCTAGTGCCAAAGCAATCAGAGCAACATGCATATACTTTCACTCATTCTGTAGGTGAGATTTTATGTTCAGTATATGGTAATGGCACATATGCTTACTTAAAATAATTATAAGTAGTGGATACTCAAATTAATTAGTTGCCTTTCATTCTACACGAAAGTTAAAGGAGATTTATGAATAAGATAATTATTAATGAATAAATTTCAAATAAATGAAAAGTATATGCAGGATAATAAAATACTCTGAACCATGAAAATTTTTTCCACAGGCTCTTTACCATGCCTTCATATATATTGAGCTGCTCCTTTCTATTTTTCTCCTTATTGAGGACCTGAGAACAAAAGACATTTCTTTCAGATGAATGCACCAAGAGTTCTCAGACAGCCTACAGTTGATCCAGCAAGCAGTGAATGAGCCTAATACAAATACTCATCATTTTTCTAGTCTAGTCTGTTTTCATCCTAGCTAAAAATACTCAGGTTTGATATTTAATGTGCTAGATACAGTAAATACTTTGTTACCATATTTTGGTTTATCAATGTAGAATCAACAGCAATATTCCAAATAACAAATGCTTACAAATTTCTGATATAAGAAGATAAAAACTCTTTAAAAAATAATTTGCTCCTGATAATCTTGGCTATGTGTTAATTTGAAAATTTGGAAAAGGCCTGAGATTTTTTTGAAGATCAAGTATTTAACTTTGTGGCAAATTAGAAGTATATTACTAAATTTCTTTGTTGATTTTTGTGAAAGCTTCTGAAATGGCCACAATTTTATATGCACATTATTTCAAAAAACTGCTCAAGTAAGGAAGCATATAACTTTCCTATTTCTGCAAAGGTAATATGTTTTTCAAGTGATTTTATAAAATACAATGCCTTCTAGAAAAGTGCTAGCTACTTACTATACAAGTAAATAGAAAAGATCATAGATGAGTGAACTTTTTTTCTGTTTTTGTTTGTTTGTTTTGGTACAGGAGATTGAACCTATGGGCACTTATCCACTGAACTTTAATATTTTATTTAGAGACAGGGTCTCACTAAGTTGTATAGGGCCTCGATAAGTTGCTGAGGCTGGCTTTGAACTCACAATCCTCCTGCTTCAGCCTCCTGAGCCACTGGGATTATAGGCAT